TCGTTGTGTCCTTGGTCCGAGTCTCACGGTAACATTTCCTACGTCTCTGCTCCCAAAAATAGCCCGTCCTCTTCCCTTTTTCAGTACACACAAGAGAGGCTTGTTTGTCGCTTTGAGAAATTAACAGTTCTTTAAATTGAACAGAGGGAGACTCTAAGAACTACCTGACCTACTACAAGAGAGCAGCGGTGTTCCTAGCGATGGGAAAATCCAAATCTGCTCTGCCGGACCTCACCAAGGCCATCCTGCTCAAACCTGACTTCCTGGCTGTAAGTTCTCCACCCCCAAAACACTCAAGAAGATTCTGTATTGTGTCCTTGTTTTTGATCATATTCATTTAGTTTTCTCCTCTCATCATCTTGTCTCTCGATCTCTTATTTTCTTGTGTTCCCAGGCCAGGTTACAGAGAGGGAATATCCTGTTGAAGCAGGGCAACACACAGGAGGCCAGGGAGGACTTTGAAGCAGTGGTGAGTTCAAGTCCTAAACTGCTTCTACCATTTTTACTGTTTAACATGAAACCACATTCTACCAGACAGATTTTTGTGATTAGGAGAGGAATTGACCCTGTTTTTTCTTTTAGCTACAGCGCTCCCCAGACCACGAAGAAGCGCGGGACCAGCTGATGAAAGCGAACGAGCTGGAGGAGCTGCAGGAGGAGGCCCATGCTACGTACCACCAAGGGGACTACAGCGCCAGCATCACCGTGCTGGAGAGGGTCATTGAGGTGCGTGTCTGCTCTGCCTCCTGATGTAGACAAATGTAGAAAATAGGCGTTTGCATCCATTTTCTTCTGTTGTTATCTGACATTCCTATGTGTATTATTGGGCTGTGTACCATTATTTACCAAATATCTGTCAAAAAGATGACTATGATGCTGGATAACAGCGTTAGGTCTCACATTAAAGAAGTCATTTGACATTTTTTGGGAAATACGCTTGTGTGCTTTGTTGCTGAGTGTTACTTAAGAAGATAGACTGAATTATCATGTCTGTCAATATGAAGCTACATCCAGCGGCAAGACAGTTAGCTGAGACAAATGTAAAAAAAAAAGATATTTGGCTATATAAATATACTTTGATTGAATTAGCCTAGCTTAGTTTAGCTAGCATTTAAATGTAAATACAACCCAACTCTATTTATTTTCATGTAAAGGAACAGTATGGATAAAAAACAATTCCCCCAACATATGATCTTGGACAAAGTGTGATCATTGGTTCCTTTCCCGTCGAGCTCAAGTAGCTCCATGTGTGTATTCAATCTTCTAAATATGCCATCTTCCTTCAGATCTCTCCCTGGGATCCGGACTCTCGGGAGCTTCGTGCAGAGTGCTACATCCGGATGGGCGATCCTCAGAAAGCCATCCAGGACCTGACCCCGACCACGAAGCTACGCAACGACAACCGCGGCGCCTACCTGAAGCTCAGCATGCTGCACTACAGCCTGGGGGATCACCACGAGTCACTCAAGTGAGCTTAGACAAATTCACTCAAATGCAAAAATGAAGCTTATTTCCATCTCAGGAGCATCAGTGTCACTCGCTGAATGATCGTTTCGCTCGTCTGTTTCCGTGCAGTCACATCCGGGAGTGTCTGAGGCTGGACCAGGAGGACAAAGAGTGCTTCACCCACTACAAGCAGGTGAAGAAGCTCAGCAAGCAGCTGGACTCAGCAGAAGAGCTCATCGAACAGTTCAGGTCAGTACTTTACTGTGAGAGAGACGCTCTGAAACACGATCCTCTAAGATGCATTTACAAGATGTCTGCTGCAAAATACGTGTCGGCCTGAAACGGATAATGTCATCCACAAAGTTATCCGATTCAGGTGCAGCCTCCAAAACATAGCACTTACACTAATTGTTTAATTTATTTTAGGGTAACGGTGCACATTTATTAGCCAAAAAGTACATTTTTTAACTTTTGCCCCTTTTTAAACGGCTGTTCAAATAAGTAATTACACTTCCAATAAAACACACAACATATACAATAACCCTGGAGAAAACAAACATGAACAGCTCAACAGGTAAAGAACAATGAAGAGGTTTAAGGCAGCACCATGCAAAGTAGGAGATTTCAATCCAGGCATTTTATTCAAAGCAGTTTTAAGCAGACAATGGGTACAAGAATTTGAAACATGACGATACAAAACCAGATTAGGTTACAGAAAACTGGTAAAACCAGACCGACAAAAATAGGAGGAAGAATTCCATGACTAGGTATGATGGCAGGTTTGAGTTTAAATACAAAGGAATGCTAAGAGCTGCTGTGATGTGTGTTTTTAAAGGGAGGCTGTTTCAAAAACCTCGGAGGTCAATAACACTTGCAACATCACTAACTAATGAAATACTCTTAAACTGAATGATCTCTCTACTCTCAATTAGGTTCCAGGAAGCCATTAGTAAGTACGAAACAGCGATGAAGACGGAGCCCAAAATCCCGCTCTACACAAACCTGGCCAAAGAGAGGATCTGCTTCTGCCTCGTAAAGGTGAGACAGAGAGATATTATCTGTATAAAGATAAAAGGTATAGAAGAAGGGACATTCGGATAGTCTCACTCGCCAAGAAATTGTATTTTATAAATGTGAGTGTGAGTTTCTTTTTTGTGGCATTATATTTCCCAATGCTCACTGCCAGCTGTTTTCTCCTCTGTTTCGCCAATTCTAGCTGAATTCAGCTCTGGATGCCATAGACGTTTGCTCAGAGGCTCACCAGAGAGACCCTCGCAACGCCAACGTCCTGCGAGACCGAGCAGAGGCGTACATCCTCAACCAGGAGTACGACAAAGGTAATTGGGGGGGGAGGTCTTGCCTATACACAGAGATATAGAAATATCTGTAGTTTGTCTATTCTAACTATGGTTTAGGATGATAAGAATACTGTAAAGGCAAAACACACATTCAGGCAGGGGCGGACTGGGACTAGAAATCAGCCCGGGACCCTCGACCGGTACCGCTAGTAAATTGTCAAGGTGGGGGGGGGGGTTGCTAGTGACTTATCCCACCGGCCCACATCGTCCGACCGGCCCACTTCAGTACCGCTAGTAAATTGTCAACGGGGGGGGAGGGGCTAGTGACTTATCCCACCGGCCCACTTCAGTACCGGGCAGTCCGCAACTGCATTCGGGAGATTAATAGATTGGAGTATTTTAAGGTTATTTAATCTTAGATGAAAGTTAACTGCTACTCCCATCTTTACTTCATAAAGAGAAAACAAATCTGGACTGATAACAGAAGGTTTCCTATTGTAACGTCTTTTATTACGGTTTGGTTTCAGCTGTGGAAGACTACATCGAAGCCAAAGAGTTTGACAGCGAAGGCGAACGCATTGATCTGAAAGAAGGGCTGGAGCGAGCTCAGAAACTTCTCAAAGTCTCTAAAAAGAGGGACTACTACAAGATCCTCGGTGTGGGAAGGTAACCAGCCAGCTTTATGACAAACATCTTTACTTCCTTAATCCTTCAATTATATCTGACTTCACCAATATCGCTCCAAATAACTCTTATGTATGCTGCTTTCTCTCCAGGAGTGCAAACAAGCAGGAGGTCATCAAGGCGTACAGGAAGCTGGCCCAGCAGTGGCACCCCGACAACTTCCAGTCTGAGACGGATAAGAAAGAAGCGGAGAAGAGGTTTATCGACATCGCATCGGCTAAAGAAGTCCTCATTGACCCAGGTCAGGAGCTGTCACATGTTTGGCATTAGCAGACAGATGTTCAGAGAGGGTTAGCTTTAGTTTTTGTGGGTCTGGTATCTCTGGAAAACAACAGCTAGCTCTCAGAAAGAAACATGACATTGCAGAAAAAGATCTAGCATAGTTTATGGCAGCCCTGTAACTATAATGTCACAATTACACACTACTGATAGCACATTTTGAAAGTATAGTTACACATTTGTGGATATGTGCAATTCATTTTTGCTGATATTAAGACAAGAAGATTGATACCTCTCTTGCTGTCCTTGTTAAATATGAAAACTACAGCATGCCGCTAATTAGCTTAGCTTAGCATTAAGGTGGAAACAGCTAGCATGGCTTTGTCTGAAATAACAAAAACTACTTAACAGCATTTATAGCTGACTCAAAATGTATCTTATTAGTTTCGGAGTGTAAAAACAGCAAGTTTTTTTTTTTGGGGGGTTTATGTGACTGACCATTTTTTGTTAAGCTAAGCTAACTAGCAGTAGCTTCACATTGAGCAGGTTTAGGATAAACTAGGGCTGCTCAATTAATCGTAGTTTAATCGCGATTACGATTATGGCTAGCAACGATTATGAAAACAATGTACCGTAATTTTCGGACTATAAGGCGCACCTGAATATAACCGCAGCAGCGGCATACCACTCTCGGTTCCACTTTGACTTTTGCGCGCTACCTGTCACTCTTTTCCGGCCTCCAGCTT